GGGGAGGGAGATCCATCTTCAGGTCTGTTGAAGAGGTGATTCACTGCCATCCAGTGGACAATATATGTAGTACAAAAGTAAAACCTTAAAGGGTCAAGTTATTACCTGACTTGCTTCTACCAACTTCTAGTTCTGGTTTACATTTACAATGTATCTTTCCAGAAACAGTGTTGTGGTTACTCTGAATAATCCAAAGACTTTAATGGGGAAATGTTTCATTGAAACTACTTTCTACAAAACAAGTAGTCCCCCTTTCAGTCTCAAACTACGTTAACACTGTAAAATAATTATTGGAGCATGTCCTTTAATATTAGCTGAACTCCTTTAATGTTATATAAACAGGCAAGTTTAGTTAAAGTTGTTGTAGTCTGATGAAAACAACAAAAACAGATCATATGAATTATTTATTGAAATTATTTCTGTCACACAAAAAAACAAATAAATAAAGTTACTTCTTAAAAACCATTACACAAACCTGAGATTGAAAGTGCATATGCACCACTACATGTAACAACAGATTAAGACAAATTTGCACTCTTATATACAGTAACCCTGAGTCTGTTTGCTTTGAATCCTAAAATCTCAACATACTTTATTTATAGGTTAATTTATTAAACATTGCATGGCATAGCATTTCCACTAGGTGGAGCAATATGTTTAGTTTTTTTGTAAAGGAGGCACATTGTGGCTGCAACACACCCTTTATACAAGCACAGGTGCAAACAGTCACCTTCATCAGTGAGAACTGTCCATATGACGCTTAGAAGCACATTAGAAGATTCCTCTGAAGCATCTTCTCATCTTCTTCTTCTTCTGAAACATTTCAGCTGTGTTCAGCACTGCAAGAGAGAGCAATGTTAATAAACTATTAACAGAATTCAGGGAAGATCTGGTAAAATGCAAATACTGCGTCATAATGATAATAACCTTAGTTTCTGTTCATCGTGACAATGTTGTTGGTGACGGTGAGCTCCGATGAACAGAAGTCAGCCGAGTTTTGAGACGCTACCTCGTGAGGCATCTGAAAGAGTTCACGAGTGAGAGCGAGATGAAGAATTGCCGTCGTGATAAACTATGACAGAATACAGATTTATTTTCTGTGCAGGAGTATGGGTGAGGACTGACCAGGACTGGGGGAGCCATGAAGAGGTAATTGAAGGGGTAGTGCAGCAGGTTGATGCAGGTGGACGAGTATAAATCTGCATAACGCATCAGCTGGCTGGCAAACAGCGTCTGTCTGGAGCCGCTGCGCAGGAGGCTGCCCATCTGGCCATAGGACATGTCCATTCTGTAGGTCAGCACCTGTAAACACAAAACAACAACCGCATCAGCAAAAACAAAACACCCAGACAGAGAGTAATAAAACATGAAAAACACCTGAAACACAACTGCTGAGCTGAGCAAAAAATTCTGGTGTGTGTTTCTGTAGCAATAATGCATTCTTAGTTTTTTAAATAATTTTTCTGGCCTTGAAAAGAAAACCAAACAATCCCACACACTGTGCATCGCTTGAACTCACTTTATAATAATAATAATAATACACAATACTACTACTACTACTAATAATAATAATAATAATAATAGACAGGTAAATAAACAATGCAGAGAATAAAACAAATACCTTTTCCCCCCTTTCTCATAGTAAATTCATAATTCACAGTTTTAGCCACAATCATCCCTACCACTATGACTAAGTCAGCAAATGATACATCGTCACTCCTTATCCCTGACCTAACCCCTTTACCCTGGGTCTTTCTCTAAATTCCACTATACATGCATAATACGGTGCAGTGCTAAATAAATAAGTAAATAAAAGTTAACATTTATATTCTGGTTCTAGATGCACCTTCCCGTTAATCTTCAACAGAGTTCAATAAATACAATCTCTATTAAAGAGTGATTCCACTGATGAAAACACAGTGTGCACGCAATATAACTTTTTAATATATTAATCCTACGCACTTGTCACTAAGACTAAGGACTTTTTTTTAAATTATTGCTGCAATGTACAAATTTCAAGCCTCCCAGTAGGCAACAAATGTCCCATTATTTCACATTGTTAATGATCTAATGTATTGCTATGAACAAAGTTCTCATTGCACTAATCTGAGCTGTCTCCTATGTCATTAAAACATTTTCTTTAGCAGTGTTCAAAAAATGAAGATGTGTTTTGATATGTGGAGCTCACCTTCATTCTCGTCTGAATGGCCCTGATGTCGGGACACTCTTGGCTGCCGCTGTCCAGATGCCTTCAGACGACAAACACAGAAAATAATAACAGCCGTTTCAGCCCTTCACGTAACAACATTAAAGCTCTTGTACAGTAAGATGTTGGCATGGCAACAATGTTACTAAAACTTGGTAAATGTTTGATAAATGACACAGTTGTTGCAGCTTAAATCAGTGGGTGTAAAACATCAACAAGGTTCAACTTAATTATTAACATGATACACATGACGGTTTGTTTGATTTCCTTAACAATTTGCATTTTTACATTCAATACAGCAGATCATTTACAAATCATGAATTACTAAAACTATACTTGACACAGACTGAACTAATGCCTTTACTACTGATGGAATAATGTTATAGATTCATTTATTCTTAGGGTATAAGTGATAAATCATATAATGTATTCATCTATTCCATGTGAACTCATCATTCACCATAAACTGTTTAGTTACCATTCAATAAGATTTGATTATATAACAACGACAGATGGGCACAAACTCACTTGTAAATCTCAGCTAAGAAGACATCGAGACGTTTCAGCTCCTCAAACAGATCTGCAAAACCAAGAAAGTCATCAAGACTTTGAAGATCAACAAAATGATCACAATAACACCGGATGTTGTCTGCTTGTTCTTACTTTTCTTCTCCTCCCACACTTGCAGCTCCTTGGTGAGCTCCGGTACCACCAGGAAAGTCTTCCAGCCCTGACGTTTCTTAGATTTGAGAATGTCGCCAAAGATGTGGTCCCCAACATAGAGGATGTCTTTACCTTTCACATCCAGCAGATCGCAGACGATGTCTGATGATCCTGCAACCAGACGTTCATTTGAAATATTACATAAGCATGAATGAACAAATTCATCCACATCACAAGCACACATAAAAACACACTTATGTATGGAGGGAAAGATAAGGTCGTAATAGTTTTAGTAATATAAGCGATTGTGAAATTCAACCACTGCTGAATAATTAATATTGAATCAATAATTTTACTTTTAAAAATCATCCAAGGTCATTTCAAATTTTGTAGTACTTCTTTTTTCAGACAGAAAAGTGTCTAAAAGAAAACAAAAGCTCAGTTTAAATTTAAATAGTATAACAAATAACTAATAATAAACGTTATTTATATAGCATCTTTCAAAACTATGATTTAAACAAATACACACCACAATTTAAAAAAAAAGTAAAAAAATTAAAAACACAAAATACAATAAAATAAAAATTATATAAACAAATAAAACACATTTAAATTCAATTAATTAATTAGTATTCAAATTAAACTATTTTTGCTTCCATATTTGAACATTTATTTATCCTTGTAAAGGGTGAGCATTTGGGGTCTAATTATATTTCCTTATCCATAATCTTAAATTACAGCCCCAAATGTTCACCAAAATTATAACCCCTAATAAACCCTAATAATAAACCAGTTGCTGCACTATTGTCTGAACAGAATCGACTTTCTGTCTGGAAAACTACATTATTAGGTACCGGTAGTACCTAATAATCAAAATAGGCCCAAACTGGACATATCAATAACCACCTAGTGTGTAAAAACTGTACTAAATATTCTTCTTTCACCCACTATCTATTTGTGCAGTTAAATATAAATGTGACAATTAATTGAAAATTCACAAATAAATAAAATCACATGAATGAATCTCACCTCCGGAGTAAACAGTGCCATGCTGGAGGTCGCCTGTGTAAGTCCCAATCCGAAGTTTTCCTGTGTGCTGTGTCCAGAATACAACATGTCACTGAAACCTGCTGCAGTTCAACATTAACATGTAAAAATCTTCAGTTTAAGAAAGACTATTTCATACCGTGTCCACTTGTCTCAGCACAGTCCCCTCCGCGAAGAACAGCGGCTTTCTGGTATCCACGACGACCAGGTCGAAGAAAGAGCGCCAGGACTTTTTCGGACTTCCAGACTAGAATGAAAACTAATGTTAAATTCACAGGACTCAATTAAATGGACACTTTCCTAATAGTAAAACCACTTATTACACTTACTTTAGCATTGCTTTCAAGTAGGTATTTCATAATGGACTTGATGGAGAAGGAGAAAAAAATAAGACGTTAGAATAAATGATGATTTTGAAGGGTCATATAATTTGTATTGGCACTATTAGAAGCTCACCTCAGTGTAGTTGTAGTCACTGTTGGTGGCGAGGAAGACCTTGGCCACCTCTTTAATCCGGGTCAGGAGTATGGGGAGATTTGTCTGTAAAGAACATATTCATTTATTTATTGTATGTCAGAAAGCTCAAACACATTTTGATGCATATTCTTGTCAATTTACTCACATCTTTGACAACATATTTCTCCAAATTCTTGATGGTTCGTTCCTTTAGGATTCCCTATACAGCACAAACAGATACAGTATACCAGTTACTGTTCAGTAGAGACAAAGTATGATTTCCCAGGCCAACAATGGGGCACAATTCTGTATCTTTTAATCTGTTAATTCACCGTATCGTGAATGAAGTCCATTGCATCTCGAACATCCTGGAACATGCTTCTGTAGGACATAAACAAGTCGCCATGCTGGTAACCCTTCAGGATGCTGAAAGAAGAACGTAACAGCAGAGAAAAGAGTGGTGAGGTGTGTGTGACAAATAATTCATGGATTGATTTATAACAGTTCAGAGCTGAGAGGTAAAACAGGAGTGGCAAAAAAGAGTCAAACCTATGGGGGAAATAAAACTCACTTTGTGTATCTCGTGCATCTGGTGAAGAAGTCCACAAGGCAGGTGTACAGATACGTCTCTGCAGGATGCGTAAAAACACAGGTCAGCTGCTACACTTGCAGGATATCATATATATCTTTTATGCTTACAGGATTACACACAAAATATGAATTTAACCGTCAAATTCAAAATCTTATATTTCTCTACAGGTGAATTTTATACCTGAAAGATTGAAGAGCGTGTTGAGAATGTAGAAACGGTCAGTGTCGTCTCTTTGAATGAAATTGTTGGGGTAGTATTTCTGGATGTCTTCCCTGTGGAGCACAAACATAACACAGTTTAATATTACAAATGTACAAACATACACAACTAACTGACAAACAAATGTGCATGAATGTAAATGTCATGGCTCTGAAATCTCTCTGTGAAATCTTGTCATAATATGTTGAAACAAAACAGATTAGACACCCTCATGTTTATCTGCTGTCGCGGTTTGTAACCAGAGAACAAGAAAGACCACGTCGAGCCAGCTCATCTCAGCTGACCATCATGCTGCTGTCACAATTAGCTGTTTGTGTTTCCCTTCTCATTAAATAACTATGAGTGGCATCCAAACGCAAGCAAACATGAGAGTCAGGTTTTAATTAAACTGTAGTTGTTTTTTTTATCCAGTCAGTCACAGTAAGACACATTTTTACCGTTGGATCAAATCAAAGCTTTCTTTTTCGAATTTGAATGTGTTCCACTCAATAAAATCATACAATTTTAATACTAATTTACTGTATACTACCAGTATTCATTCATCCATTTACTCAGGTTTAATTGTGTTTTTATACACGTTCATATCAGTAATCTTTTGGTTGTGTGTGTGTCTCTGTCTCTCTTCCTCGTTCCCTGTGTCTGTATGACTTCACCTGAGCTCCAGAGTTCACATGTAGAGGCATCCATCTTTAAAAACATACATGAGTATGTGGCGACATTTTTGTACTTTATTTTGTAAAGATTTCAACTTTACCCTTTGATGAAGCAGAAGCCGTGACTGCAGACTAAAATATTCCCATTTGAATCCACCTTCAGGAGGTTTCCGTATGTGGTGTCGATCACTAAACCGCTGTAGGTGGGGGAAAAAAGAGAGAAGAAGGTTATCAAGACATTACAAAAATAATTTTCATTATTGATGTATTGATCAATTAAATGCCAGAAATATTCAAAGCCGCCCATCATGGAAATGTTTGGCAATTATTTAAAGAGTAATTGATCATCAAAATAGTTGCAGATTTCTTTTTTCAATTAATTGACTAATCGGTTGGAATTATTATTAATACATTTAATTGTTAGATGAATCCTCAGGTTGATTTAAAACTAACCGTGTGGGGAAGCTGGGGTCGTATGTGTAGCGTAGAAGCTCATGAGGGTATCCAATAGACACCATCCTGTCTCTTATCAGCTCAAAGCCCAGGCTCTCGTAATCAGGAGACTTATACACTACAAACAAACACACACACACACACACACACACACACAACAAAAACAACACCAGCATATAAACCTTGTGTAGCCAGTTCAGAATAAAGAATTCAATACAATAGAGTTCAGATTTACAACCTCCACATGATGACCCACTGAATATACACAGGTCTTTCTGTTGCAGTGGCGCCTTTACATACTTGCCATCGTGTAGTCCATGTCAAAGCCATAGCATTTGATGTTTTCCAGCGTCAGATTTCTGTTGACGAACACCCTGTGATCAACAACAACACAGTTGAAGCATGCAGACACATGACCAGATGACAAGATGTCTGAGCACAAGACCTCAGAGATGTTATATAGGGTAAGGTGCACAATCTGTGTGTGTGGTGAGGTTTTCTGAAGGTTCAGTATGTTGCAGTATACACAGTCAGGTATTTGCTTATCAGCGTGTTTGCATCAATTCTATCCAGAGGTTGTGTTCATGTAGGCCTGAAACAAAGTCTGTGACATTACTAGGTATCCTTGTGGTTGCTTTAATGGCTTAATGGCTTTTTTTTTATCAAAGGATTCTTTTAGAAATTCAGGAACTTCATCTACATCAGACCTCAGTTACCTTTATGTAGTTTTAGCTGCTACTCTCCAGCTGTAAGTCCCTACAGCAGAGGTGGAGCTGGGTGGAGGGTAGAGATGTTATCATTACCTTCAGCTATCTCCTCCACTGTTTCAAATGACTGCCAATTACCAGCGGGACATATTTTTTTTAAACACATGGTGTGTTTTTAACAGACAATGTAACTGTACATTGTTTCCTGTGTCACTTGCTACCAGATGCTCCTCTTTATCAGTGACACCCTGACAGAGAAAGAGAGGCATATCTGCACCACCTCAGGTCTGGATGGCCCAAGGCTCAACCCTTGCCTGACAGTTTATACTAATAAGGTTTCTCTAAATAATTTACCTGCAAGCTCCTGTTTTGTAAATGTGTTACTGCTGAGCACTGAGGATCTTTCTCATGGGATCAATCCAGCAAATAAAAGCTAGTTTCTGATGTACTGTAGAAGGAGTGGCTTCTGGTTTCAGTGTCCACTGATTAAAATATTTAGTGATAGGGTCCTTCAGAGGATAGAAGCAGGTGAGCAGTGTCGGGAAGCATGTGTAATTTGTAAAAAGAATAATTTATAAATAGCATAATTATTAAATCACTGAAGAGAATGACTTGTTAATAATGTAGAAATAAATACAGAAAGTGGATTCCTCCTGTCTAACACAGAAAGATGACCTGAGGGGGGAAAAAATACAAAACTTCACAATGTCTTATCATAGTGTTGTAAAATAAAAATAAAAAGTTGGCTAAGAAGGGTAAACCTTAGTGGTGTTGTTCACCTCGGAGTATATTTGTGTATGACATTTAAATCAACCTAAATCAAATGGACTCACTTTTGGTCAAATCCTCTCTTCACCATGGGCACATCAGTGGAGACGATGGGATCTGTGTCCATTGCGTCCTTTGCGTCCATTGTCTGCAAACTTTAAAACGAAGCCTGCAACTGCTCGGATGCTCTGCTACTCTGCTACTTTTTTTTGCCACTACAGAGGCATTTAAATGACCAAAATGTACCCAAGTTTTGTGGGCGTGGAGTTGTTGGTGATGTAAACAGCTGCAGGATACGCGCATCCAGGCTCTCTTCTTTAGCTTTGGTCACACATTCGTCGCGCATGACATTTGGCTTTGAACGCATAGATTGTGTTATCAGAGGCGCACACATGTGCCGGGGCAGCACGCCTGCGTAATTGGGTAGGAGTTTCCCGATGACTGTCAGTCCCGCTGTGACCCGAACTGGTACACTGTATTCATTCAAAGCAAAACAGCTCATATGTTAATGTGGTTTATTTGCATTTGGCTTCACCAAAAGCTGCACTGCACTAGTAGGCCTATAGAAGTCAGCAATATGTTCTTAAAGCATTACATGCAAAAGTTAAAATCTATATAGCTAATGTTTAGTGTCCTATGCTGCAAATTTATTATGATCTAGGATTTGTATTTGCATGATGCAAAAAATTTAATTGCTAACCAAGTATACTATATACAGTAAATTGTTATATGTTATAATAACTAATGCATTAATATGTGAGCTGCATTTTAGTGTTACAGCTTGTTGAGGTAAAACTAATCTATTATTTTTTACTATTTTACTGTCCTGTATAAACTCACACTGTCGGGTAGTTTAGTTAGTAATGAGTCATATTTTATACAATGTGTGTAAAATATAAATCTGTAAAGTAACTTAAGCTGTGTAACACAGTGAAGTCAAAAGTGATAAGTTTTTCTCTGAAATGTGGTGGAGTAGAACAACTTTTCCAGCAGTAGCTAGATGAGCACACATGTCTTGTAGATAAACACATGCACATACACACACACACACTTGAGGCCATTTGTCCTGCATACTGTTGTTACATACTGAAGTTTATGCAACTGGACACTGGATGTTCTGATGAGTATCTGTTTGGCCTGAGCTTTAACATGCAGACCCCACTGATAACCTAAAGGACCAAACCTGGTTTTAAGTTACAAGGGCAGAGATTAACACAGTCTTGTCTGACAGCTGTAGCCAAAATCCCCTTTGGGACATTTTAAAGATCAATAATGGCAGTTCACCACTAAAATAACAACACACAAACACAAAATAGGAACACATTAAAATATATTTTGTTACAAAACCCCCAAAAAACAACATACGCCATAAAAAACAGTAAAGCCACTTTTATTAACGTTGTCTTGCAGTACTGTATTGTTCACATGACTGACTCAGTAAAAATGATACAGATGGTCTGTAATAATAGAATTAAACTGTTATATGAGTTGTATCTTTCTGCCTGGGTTACATTTAAACAATTTCAGTAACCTCAGTGTGATATGAAGTGACTTCTTCAAGCTAAATGTTTGCTGATTGACAATTTATGACCTCTGTGAATATGATCAAAACTTGGTCTTGTATGTTTTGATCCCGTTGAGTTTCTGCTCAGTGTCGCTTATCCTCTGCGATTTTTCCGATTTGCTGTGTATCTTCTCAAACTCTGCAGCAATCTCCAGTGCTGTTCGATTCTTGGTCTCAGGGAAGTACAGCCTCACATACAGGCCACAGCCAGCGCAGAAAAACAGGAATATGAGAAAGCAAAAGTACTTCAGGTTTGCCTGGAAAGGAAGCATGTTGGAGGACATTGGTACATTAGTGTGAGTGATGCATTTAATAATCTCTCCTAACTAACTGGCCTGTAGTTAAAATATGCCAAATTAGACGAAGACAGCAATGTGCTTTACCACTAAGATAGGAAAGACCATCCCCAGCACAAACAGCCCTGTCCAGTTGAGAGTGCAGGCGATTGTGTATCCAGCTGATTTGAATGACTGAGTAAATAATTCCCCTGGAAGAGGAGCTGTTACTCCAGCTGAGGGTCAAAAACAAAGGAAGTAAACAATGCAGTAAGATGTAATCCTTGTTGATTCAGAAAGGGCATACTGAAATTGAAATCATTCATAAAATGGCTCAGATTTGGAGTGATAAATATACCTGGTCCACTAGCAAAAAAGAAAATGAAGATAAAAATGAGGACCATGCTGCAGTACGGCATCCAGGAGACCTGAGTCTGAGGAAAAAGGAGTTTATGAGTGATTTGAGTTGCTGTCAGTCATCTATTGTATTGTTTGAAGCATCCAAATATGCTGCAAACAGTGTCTGGTTTTGTGATAACTCACTTGTAGGTACAGAGTTACGGTGAGGAGGATCAGGGTTGCAGACATTCCTACATATCCTCTGAGCAGCAGGACTTTTTTGCCTGTATTCTCAACAATCATAAACTGCGACAACAAAAACACATTTTAAACCACAAGGGGGAGCTCTAACTATACATTAGGACTGTGAGAGCAGAAGGAAGGGGTGTTACTCAATCACAAAAAGTACAAATAGAGAACATCTATAGGATATGTAAGGGATATCACACTCAACATTTACTGGTAATAGCCATAAAACATGATAGGATATTAGTGAAAAGGGACTTACACAGGCTACAGAGGTCGCCAGCTCACACAGGCCTGTTCCCAGGGCCGTGTAACGTAACTGGTCTTCTTGGATTCCTGCCGCACGAAACACATCAAAAGAATAAAAGTACACCTGGAGAGAAGCATTTGAATAAGAACCACAAATTAAAGACATTGTTCACTTTTTTCAGTTTAACATGAACTACAGGCTTCAGTGAGCTTTAGAGGAAGCAGAATTTATTAAGCTGAGATGGAGCCAGGCAAGCTGTTTTCCCCTGTTTCCAGTCTTTGTGCTAAGCCTTACTAACTCTTCCTGGCTCCAGCTTTATATTAACAAACAGATATAAGAGTGGTATCGATC